TTCTACATTCCATCCTGGACTATCCCAATTTCCTGATTTTTTAAAATTTGCATACCTTAAAAATTCCCTCTGGGCTCTTAAGTGTCCTTGGTTTGGATAAATACACAGTATCATATGTCTGCCCACCATTACAATATCATAAAGAATAGTTTCACTGCACTAAACATATCACCTATGTTTCACTTATTCAACCTTTTCCCAAACACCCAACAACTAATTTGTATGCTGTCTCTATAGTTTTTTCTTTGAATTATAGCCTTTTCATTCCGGCTTCTTTTATGTAGTAGTATACATTTAACATTCACCCATGTCTTTATGTTGCTTAATAGTTTATTCCTGGGAAATACTTCATTATATGGATATGTCATGGTCTATCTGTTTACCTATTAATTTTATTTAGTTATTTTTATTTTTTTAATTTTTGCTGTTCTGGGAATTGAACTCAGGACCTTACACTTGCCAGGCAGGTGCAGTGCCACTGAGCTACATGCCTGGCCCTCTGTTTACCTATTAAGACATCTTGTTTGCTACCATTTCTGTAAACATCTGCACACAGGTTTTTGTATTAATGTATATTTTCACTCCTAGGTAAATACATGGGAGTATGATTACTCTATCATGGTAAGACCATGTTTAGCTTTGTATGAACCTGCTAAACTGTCTTTTGAGGTGCCTGCATTATTTTGTATTCTCATCAGCAATGAATGATAATTCCTGTTCCTTCAGACTGTCACCAGTAACTGATACTGTCTGTTTTAGTCTTTTAGCCACTCTAATTGCCATACTATGATATCAGATTGTTTTAATTTGTATTTCTTTAATGACAAATGGTATTGGAATCTTTTTATATGCAATATATTTGCCATCTTTGGTGAAGCATCTGTTCAAATATTTTTGCCTCTTTTTAGGTGAGTTGTTTTATTACTGGGTTTTGTCAGTTGTTTGTATATTTTGGATATAAGCCCTTCAAATAGGTGTTTTGGGAGATATCTTTCACTCTAGCTTTTCCGTTTTCCTAACAATGAGTTGCAGAGCACAAGTTCCACACTTTAATGAAAGTCCAGCTTTTCATTTTTTTATTTTTAAGAATCGTGATTTTATTGTTCTAAAAACTCCACCAAATTCAACAACATACAGATTTTTAAATGTTTTATAGTTTTACATTTTACATTTGAATGTGATCTATTTTGAGGTAATGTCTGTGAAAAGTGTGACTTAACTTTTAAGAATTGTACCTTAAAAGCCCCCTACCACCTCACGGTAGCTGTCTT